GAGAGAGAGAGAGAGAGAGAGCGAGAGAGAGAGAGAGAGAGAGAGAGAGAGAGAGAGAGAGAGAGAGAGAGAGAGAGAGAGAGAGAGAGAGAGAGAGAGAGAGAGAGAGAGAGAGAGAGAGAGAGAGCAAGAAGCGTCATGAGATGGACACACGAGTCTCCCAGGAGACCCACAAGTCTCCACCAACACTTGAGGACGATGTGTTACATGTGTCCCTTGGAATGGAAAATGGCAGCCGGGCCATCCCCGTCGTGCTGTCGGTGGCGGCGACGGCAGCAGCAGGGGCAGGTTGGAGAGGGTGTGTGTGTGTGTGGAGCTTGATGATTTGGGCAGAGCAAGGATTATCTGAGGTGCTGGATTCATAAGGTCTTAAAACCTGCACACTCGAATGAAAGCAGTCTGTTCTTGTTTTGGTTGTCATTTTCTCACTCGTCTCATCGGCAGCGTCATCGGCAGCGTCATCGTCCTCGTCATTCTCATGGTCGCACGCATCGCGCTTCGGTTGCGGGCACCTCAATTGGTTGGAGAGATTGGTTCGTTCTCAACTTAGCCTTGGGTCTTGGGCTGTTTCTGGGTTTGTGCTCGAGGGGTGCTGGTTGTTGCTGAGGTGTCGTCGCGTATCGAGCACCCCGCGGTGCATCACCTTCTCGAGCTAAAAGCTACATCGCGTCTCGAGCTTGGCGTCGTTTGCCAACTTGCATCCCCCCGCGTCTCTGCCTGACCGGCCGTTTAGCAATTTTTTTTTGACCAAAAGCCTAGTTTGAGGCACAGAAAGGAAGTGATGGCGTCTAGCCTGCCAGGTGCGCGGGCCGCCAGGCGGTCCGGTGCAGGCACGCCCGAGGACCCAGGCTTTGACTTGAATGACTTTATGGAGCTGGTGCTGCGTCGAGACAACACGTCACAGACATGCTGGCACTGTGATTTGGGCCAGGATCATCGCCAGTGCGAGTGCGTGGATGTTGCCCTTCCCGCGGCTGATGCCCCTTCCTCTTGGATTGCTCTCCGTGATGGAGCCGGGACCATCCTTGCCGTCGCCGCAGTTGAGGCACTCGACATTGGGAGTCGTGTGGCGTCGGGGGCTGTCACTACCCTGACCAACGCCTCACTCGGAGCGGTGGTGGGTGGTATTCGCGGTGCACTGGCGGGCATGGTTATCGGTGCCTTTTGGACAAGCGTGTCCCTCTTGAGTTATGCTGGAAAAACACTATTCGTCGCAAGCTCGGCTGCCGTTCGCGCCCTCCGGCATGATCCGAACGGTCTGGCAGGCATTGAGCTAGCTGAAGGCACTTGCGTGTCCTCCCGCCACGCGGGAACCCGGGCCTCCTTGCGCGATGCCGCCGTGCAGACGACCGAGTCCAACGTCGCAACGTCTCGTGCACGCGTCCCGTATCTCGAGCTGGATCCTACAATGTTGACTTCGGTCGTCGACGACCTTCCCTCCTCCATCTCTCCAGCTCTGGCTCCCGTGACTGCGCCGCAGCGGTCCAAGCCGTCTCCAATGGTTAGTACCTCATCATTGTCCATGTCCCAACATCAACAGCCAGCACAGTATCGGCCTCCGTTGGAGCCTTCTGCTCCCTTGCCCGAGTAAGCGTGATACAGCTGCCAGCGACCTGAGTCAATCATTTTCAAGGGATTTTCGTGTTCTGTTTGTCAAGTCTTTCTGCGGTGCCAAGCACCCACCCTCCTTTGTCGGGTGAAATGTTCTGCTCTGTTGTCCCGGCACCATGACGTCGTGCTCTCTCTCATGTCGCGGCCCACACGTGAGTTGGTCTGCTTCTCAAATTGAGGCACACATTGCAATGGAGATGATTCATCCAGTTTCAAACTATGCGCTCTTGCACCCGCGAGCCAAGGCATTTCATTTCACCCAGCAAAATTCAATTCAAAACGTCAGAGCAATAGTTACTTGCGCTTCTTCATGCCAACTGCCAATCCCAGACTGCGGGCCAACGCAGAGCCGCGCTTAGCACCACGGCCGCGCCCATGCATTTTGATTCCATTGCCACGGTTGCGCTCGTCCCGTTTTTCCTGAGCTCGAGCGCCAGCGCGGCCACGCCCACCGCGGCCGCGGCCACCGTGTCCACGCCCGCGCGAGTGTGCCTTCCCACCCGTGGCAGAGTCCTTGGAGAACGGCACTGGCGATGTAGCACCAGGGAGCCGGCGAGCCGGGAAAACATCAAGATCCACACGGTAGTCGTAACTGAGGTTAAGGGCCTGGACCTCCTCAATCGGAGGCAGCGTCAAGTCTGCCGGTGCCACCGCGAACGGTGCCGCTGGCATGCACACCACCTAGGCCCAGTGGTCGATTCAACAGCCCGTCAGGCACGAAGGCTAAACGCAATGCTGGCGATTGGTCTACAAGCACTGAGTCAACCATGCTTACCTCGGCGGGGGCTTGCCACACCTTGCCAGGCGGTGCCTGCGTGGGTGCACCCTCGAGTTCTGAGATAGGCGTTGGTGCGGAGGGAGGGCCTATTTCAGAATGGTACAAATGTGAGTCAAAGACCTAGGAGTGCACTAGGAGTGATCTAGCCCGCTTCTCGTGGATCCCGTACGACTGCCACATGTGTGGAACATGATGACCACATCACGGGCGGCACCACGCACCGCTATTTTGTGCAGCCATTGCAAGAGGGTGGGTGGCACGCAGGTACAGCAGATTGTGACCAAATTTGTTGCGTTGCTGCTCCGCTGGTGTAAGCGTATTGTATACCTAGGGAGGACCGGGCCGCTCAGATATTGTCCCGACCCAAAATGGACACCAGACCCACGTTTGCTCATTGGGAAAAAAAACGCACCGCTTTGAGCTGCGTCATGAGTAGACCGTGGTCAACAAATGGCAGAAGGGTTACACCTGCAGAGTACACCAGGGGGTTGGGGTAGGGGGTAGGGGTGCGAGTTGACTTGTGAGGCATTCGGGGCTCACGCTGGGACGCGCGGAGCAAGCACGTGCCAACCTTGCCAAGCCCATCGTTTGCCATTCAAGTCTGTCATAAACTGCTCTGGGTAGTACTTGAGTAATTCGCGGCGCCCCGCCGGCAGATTTTCCAATGCCTCGTCGGTTGCAGGGGGCTGGACCACGGCCAAAGCAAGCATCAGCACAATGTCACAGCGTGAGGCGTCCCGGTGCTCTCGGGGCGCGGTACACTAAAAAAGCGACTGTGCAAAACGATGAATCGTTGGCAACGCACGACAATAAGCTGGGCCCAGGCAGGGGGCAACAAGTGCTGGCTATCCGCCGGGAATACAGTCATGAGCTGCTCCAGAGGACGCACGGGCTGTGCATCCTTGTCAAATTCCATCTCGTCCAGCTCTGTAATGATGGGCAGATACAACGGGGTGGATCTGAGCGTCGGGTCCCAACCAGTCGGCTAGTTTGCCATCGGGGTGACGAACCGAGGTGTGCAAAATCAGACGCAAAAGGTGCGTAGTGAAAATCGTAATAATAGTCCCAGTCGGGGCAGCCTTGATAGTAGTACAACATGACCCAGCAGAGACCTGGTGTGCGTGTGTGCCATCATCAAAACGCACAGGTGAGCCGGGATTGTGGTCGCAGCTGCCTGCACTCAAGGCTGTCAGGTCAACAGACCTTGGATGTAGCTGTTGGCAATGCGATCGACAAAGTCAGCATCATCAGCATCGTGCTCAAATTTGCTCTTATAATAGCGCTGCTTGAAGGCGGTGCCTAATTGTGCGGCCTCGAGGATGGCTTCTCGACCATCGGCACTCGGTACGGCAGTTGCGCCACCTAGCTCCAAGCCCGCTTCAGCGGGAAGCACGTATGCATCTGTCGGGAGTCTCTTGCGTGAGCGAAAGCAGTTGGTTTGGGCTACGAACATTTTTCGCCACAGAAGCAGAAGCGCACCTTCATCCTGGATCTTGGTATCAGTGAGCAGCTCGTTGTTTTTGAGGTAATTAGCACGGTCGCGTTCGCGTTGGTGCTCGCGCTTGGCCTTTTTAGTGCTAGGCTCAGCGGTAGCCACCGGAGAGGTCTTGGCTTGCTCTGCCTCGGCTTTAGCTTGTTCGTCCCGAGCGGCCACAGCCGATTGACCTTGAGCAGCCAGCAGACGAGCGGCAAAGCTAGTAGGGGCGGCTGATGCCGTGTTCGTGCCGTCAGAATTTTGTGGTGCGCTTGGACCTTTCTTTTTCTTTTTCTTCTTTTTCTTGTTCACCTTCTGCTCGCTCGACTCTGGAGTGGGTGCAGCGCTCGGTTCTGGCGAGCTTGCGGCGCTTGAACCGGCATTCATGGTCGGGGCAGCTTGTGAGGTTGGACTGTGGGCCGCTGTGGCGTTTTCAGGTGCAGATGGCTTGAATGCCCGTTCCGATCTTTGGGGAACTTTCGTGCCGGTGTTGGCGTCGTCGTCCTGAACGTCTGCATCCTGCTGTAAGGCGGCGCGATGCTCAAGCAGCGCGAGCTGTTCAGCAGTGCCTTCCAAGTCGTAGCCCGGGGCCGCCTATGATGATGGAAAGAGGGTGCAGTTTGTTGTTAAGAGCACAAGAGTAAAAGCAGCAGAAAATAAAAATAAAAGAGAGCTGGACAGATAAACAAAAAGAATGAAAAAGAGACAGCCAGAATCAAGGCACATGCACCATGTGGGTTAGCGTCAAATTACCC